GGCCCGGGCCCCCCGCCACCGCCCTTTTGTTCCGCTGGCCAATCAGCCGCCTCCTTGACTAAATAAGGCGCGGAGAGCGCCCGGCGCCCCCTGTCCGTTACTTCCGCCCCCCGCCCGGCCGGTGACTCAGGGCCGGCGGCGGGCGGGGACGGGGCTGCCCGGGACGCAGTTTCCCAGGCGGCGCTGAAATCGCCAAATATGGCCGCGCCGCGCGCCGCCACGCCCAGCCCGCACACCTGCGGCCGCACCTTGACTCCCCCCTCACCCCCAGGGCGGTGACACAGCCGCGGAAAAGGAAGTAGCTCCCCCACTCCCCGCATCCCCGGCCCTGTGGGTGGCGGGGCTGGCGGCCTACTGAGGGCAGCCCCCGGAATCTCGGTGTTCCCGGGCCCCCCGCCCCACTCCCCCACGACCCTTTGGTCTTGCACCGGGCGTCCTGGACACTACAAGGTGGGGAAGAAAGGACCTGGGGGGGGGGGACAGAGGCCCGTGGACCTCTGTCCCCTCCATCTGTCTCCAGAAGCAGGAGCCTCTGTCCCCTCCATCTGTCCCCAGGAGCAGCCTGGGTGACCAGGTGCAGCCACCCCTCCAGGCACATATCAGACAAAGGAGTGTTAGAAGTTAGAGGGGGGTAGGTCCCCCTACTCCAAGTTGAGGGGCCCCGAGTGGAATGTGGGGTCGGCAGACACAGTGGCAGGAGACCTTAGATACTTTCCGCCTCCTTCATGTCCTGCGTGTGACATCTTGGGATCTCCAAGTGGGTTGGTCTCCTCACATAGCTGACGCTCCAATCTGGGGGCTGCGCAGCTGTGGCGGGGCCCGTGGGCTCCAGTAAGGGTGGGTTTTCCACCAGCCTGGGCTTCTATCACCGGTGGGGCACGCACGGGAGGGACAGCACCCTTGCCTGCACCCTGGAACGTCTAGAGAGGCGGTGACCCAGCTGGGCTTGGTGGCATGGTGGCCACAGGCAAAGCCTTGGCATCTGGGGGACCGCAGGCCTCAGGTGAGCTAGGCAGCTGGTTCACCTTCTGGACCCCAGCATCCTCATTCCTAGGTGTGCTCAGCAGCTGAGCTGGCTGGGCCCTTGGGGCACCTGGCCCCCACCCCCACTGCCAGACACCTGCCCAGGTCCATCTGAGTGAGCTCTGCTTGGCACCACTGCCACCCCTCCTGGCCACTGCTTTTCCATTGCTTTCTCTGGCGTTTACACCCAGCGGTTCCAAAGGTTACAAATAAACCTGAGGAAAGCAAGGTGCCTGCATCCCCTCTGGGCATAACCAAGGCACTGGCGCCAGCAGGTGCGGCCAGGCCAGCCCGATGACAGGTCTCCCAGCGCTGGCTCCAGGGGAAAGGGCGTGCCCTGGACTTGGGAGAATCCACAGCCCCGGGCAGCCGGGGCCAGAGGGCAGGGGCGCAGCGCGGTCGGCCTGTTTTCGGCAAAACTACCCCAGGCCCGGCCCTGTCCTAGTACGGGACAGAGAAGCGAGTGCTCCTCAAATCCAGCAGGCAGCCAACCGTTCGGGCCTTCAAGACTCTCCCTCCCTGCCTCAGTTTCCCTATAATGCCCCCAGGTGATTAAAATCAAACAAAGCCTCACTCTCTCCCCAGCGGATAGGGGGTTGGGGCGGCCTCAAATCCGGCCGGGAGCCCGCGCCTGGGAACAATCGCGACTGCGGTTTGAGCAGCAGGATGCGCGGGGCGTGGGCGATACCAGGCCTCTGTCTGCACCGCCAGGGACCCTGAGCAGGGCGCCCCTTCCTCCGGCGGAGGGACCTGCGAGGTCGTAGCTGCTCTGTGGGATCGGCGGCTCCTTTCCAAAGTGACCGGTGCGAGGTCACAGCTCCACGGAGTGCCCCGGGACACAGTGACATTCGGGCGGTCGCAGGGGCCCTCCACCTACCCCTCCCCCAGACCGGCGCCAGGAACCGCCTTCTCCGCTGGGCTCTCTGCGGAGATTCGGGGGCAAGCTCGCAGGGGGCGCGGGGGAAGCAGAGTCCCCCCAAAAGGGGTTAAGCGGCAGCGACACACCCCGACTCGGGACACGGCCCAGCCCCGGGCCAGGCAGTTTCGGGGTGCAGCCGGGCCCTCCTCCACGATGCGCGGAAATCCCGGGGCGGGGCCGGCTGGTGGGGCGCACGGTCCTCCCCGCAACCCTCCCGCAAGAG